GCTTTTTATTTAACTTATTTTGGACTGAAGCAATGCAACACCCGCTGAGTGGCATTAAACAGCTTGAAAGATCAAAGACAATTTTTAATATAACTCCGACTGGATTCGTCTGAAAGAAGAAAGACATATACACCTAGGATGCCTCGGGGGTGAGTAAAATGCAGCCTAATTTTCATTTTTGGGTGAACTAACCCTTTAATGTTATAGCAGTGCTAAATAATTCAGAGCAGAACTGGCTTTTGGAATAACTCAGCTTGTGCATGTCCTTCCAGAGACGTTGTCCTTCATCTTACCACCGGACGCATCCATAACAAGAACGTGTCCACTCATTTGATAGGCAGCATTTGCAGAGGTACTGTACTGTGTCACTCGCAGCATGCATATCTTTATAAACTTTGCAGCTGGCAGAATAAAGTATGCAGATTAAATAATAAGATTCAGTCACTAGTAGTTCAGATTTTTACTTGCTCTCCCAACATTTTCACATCATAAATAACGATTCACAATGTATTGGTACCATGTTCGTTATTGAACGTTATTGAGATTTAAGTTTAATTTTATTAGTCATTATTTGATGTATAACATAATTTTATATTGAAAAATCCTTATTCTTTAGCAAATCTCAAAATTAATATCCATTTTAATTCTGTACATTATAATGTTGTGATGTCTAAATTCAAACAACTGACTTTAGTTTTTTATGTTATTTTTTATTTACTTGGCAAATTATATAAATTAAATAATATAATAATTTAGTTTATTTTAATAAAATGTAAAAATGAAATATAAAATTGTGTATATAATGTATTTATATTAAGATGTATTTTAGATGTATTTTATTTTAATATCGGTCCATCGCTAATCACAAATCATTTTCACAGTTTCAACAAACTTAATGAAGGATGTTGTTTTCGTTCTCTGTAGGTTCTAAGGATGATTCGTCTAAAGGTGGCTTGTTTGCTCTTTGCACACTAGACGGTGAGTCCAGATATTAGTCCACCACCACATGTCAGAGGTTATCTGATGTAGGGAGAACATGAGCCCAGTGTGACAGACCAAAGCACACGCTGTGTTTTTTGGTCACTCTGGGCTCTGGGTGTCTTCATACTCTGGGTGTGTATGAAGATTGGCTTTTTACTCTAAAAGTGTAGGCTTGTTCTTCGCGGCCACTCAGTTACACAGCACAAATTTAACCCTAGTGTTGTTTTGTTTGAACAGCAGTGGATTGATGTTATTGATTGGTTAGCTGTTGTTGTTTTTCATTAGCTGTTGTGGTTGTTTTTCGTTGAATGGTGGTGTTCCAGGAACGCTGAAGCTCATGGACAGCTCTGAGAAGCTCATGGACAGCTCTGAGAAGCTCTTGTGGTCTGTGCAAGTGGACCACCAGCTTTTTGCCCTCCAGAAGCTGGATGTCACTGTAAGTGTGATGATGGCGCCAAAAACTATCCAAGTCGATGTTAAATGACACTTAAAAATATGTTTATTGCATTGCATACAAAATATCAAACCAAGTTTCATCTGCAAAGAAATGATGCTAGAGCTTTTCTATGTACATGTTTCATAAATGTTTAGCTACCAGAAAAATACAAAAACCTGCACTACCTGATGTGTATTATAGTTTGTTGTGTTTTTGTGTATTTATTCAGTGTGATGGGAGAGAGGAAGTGGTGGCCTGTGCCTGGGACGGCCAAACTTACATCATCGATCATGCACGTATGGTGGTCCGCTTCCAGTTTGATGAAAATGTGAACGCATTCTGTGCCGGTGAGCTTCTCTTACAGTCTTTATCAGTCTTTTTATCCGTCAGCATTTTAGGACCATATTCACATTTAAACCAAAAAAAATAATTTGATAATAATTGAGCACCAGTTCAGCACAGAATGATTTCTAAAGGATCATGTGACACTGAAAACTGAAGAAATGGCTGCTGGAAATTCAGCTTTGCCATCACGAGAATAAATTACATTTTAAAATATATTCAAATATTAAAAACATTTATTCATTTTATAATTAAATTGTAATACTATTTTAAAATACTACTGTTTTTACTGTATTTTCGACTTTTTAAAAATAAAAATATTAAAAATAGTATTTATTCTATTTTTAACAATCATAAAAATTGTATTACATTAATCTTTTCTAAAAAAAAAAACTAAGGGTATTATGTGAATGTGAGCACTAAATGTGCTTAAATGTAATGAATATGTTTCTTTAAAAACTGCATAATACAAGTAATGCTTAAAACTACGAACAAGAAGACTGCTTTTCTCTTCATTTTAATATGTTAATACAAGACATCTGCAGGGTGGAAAATATCACTTAGCATTTCTGTACTTCTCTCTTTCACTTCTGCTTGTACCTTCCTGTTCTTTTTATCACCTTTTTTCCCCTCTCTCTTTTTCTAATTTTGTGCTGCACATCGGTGATGAATTGAAATTGTTGCATTAAGAGGATTAAATTGATAGATGTGTTGCTCACAGAAACATCATGACTTGCATTCATGTTGACATTGAAGGGCACTGACTCATGTACAACAAAGCCTCACACAGTACGGATAGTGTTTTATCAGCTCATACACGTGCGCTCATTAAAATGCAGCCCCAGTCTCTGTGAGTCTGCTGTATGATGGGAATGTCGAGGAGAGGTGCTGCGCTTTCAAGCAAGGCCTCTCCGGAGAAAAACATATTCTAATGCTAAACAGATCAGACGCCGTGTGAAACGTTACGTGGCCTTGTCCGTACAACCACGGTGAATTCCTGATTGGTCATTTCCATTTGAAAGTGCAAACAAAAATGCAGAGGTGTAGTTTGATTGAATAAACATTCATTCAGGCTTCTCAGCTTGAAAAGTGTTGATCGATAGTTTTTATATTAGCTAGTGTAGTAAACAAAGCTTTTGCATAAATGTCCATATTTGATACTATCGTTTGTGTCCAATTCAAACATTAAGCAACAGGTGGTAACTCAAGTAGCTATCAATGTAAACTACTCAACCACGTTCATTTTTGATGTTATATTGACATGTCTTGGTCATTTCTAAACTATAAGACTGATTTCTGGTAAGGAACAGTAACCTTTACATTTATTTACTTTACATGTATATGTAGGCAGTAAAGAACAAGAATACATTTTCATTAAACATTTATTATTTTATTTTGAATATAAAATATTTAAAAAATGAAAAAAATAAATATATATATATATATATATATTTATATAATAACTTTTACTATATTTCTATACTGCTACTATATTACTGTATTGACCAATCATAATCCAGGACTGGAGATATCCGTATTATAAAATCAAATATATTGAAATGCATTGTTATTTGCTATTATTGTCATAATCCTTATTATGTTAATTACTGGTTGATGATGCAGTTTATTTAATATTAATATAAAATTGTTATTATGATAAATGGTATTGAATGTGAATATATATATATATGTATATATATGTATGTGTGTGTGTGTGTGTGTTTACAATAAAAAATAGACAATATTATATATTATAATATTTATTATTTTATAATAAATATTATTGTTTAATATAATAATATTTTGACATGTAGTAATATAGGGCTGTATTTACTAACAACTTGCATCAGGGCAAACCCTGGAGTTAAAAAAAACTTTTTTAAGGTTATTACATGCAGTAAAAAATTAACAATGAAAAGACATGGACATGGTTATTTTTGCGGCTGACCTTATTCCATATGCATTTGTAGGAGTTTCCCTTTCAGAAACGATATTTATGGGAGGAGAGCATTTCAATAAATCAGCGTGATATTCTAAGGTTTGCAGTAGTCAGTTTACTGGCATTTGAGCTATTATTTAACACCCAAAAAAGCATGTCTTAACTGCCTTAACTGAACTAGTTGCTAATTTGATCTTGGTAGATTGCGTGGGTCATTATGGAAACAATCTGGCCGAGTCTCTGATCTTTAATTTACGAATTGTCAGTAGATCACCTGTAGAACTTTCCACTCCCATCAGCGCCACGGGACGCAGCCACCCTGGACGCCTGCAGGTGAGAGGAATCACAAAAGATGGAGAGGTATAGTGGGTGACGATTCGTGATGTTTTTGGGGATAAACTGTAGGTGGAGATTCATGCCAAATGAGATCCATAAGGCCAATGTTTTTACCAATAAATGGGTAATATGTTAGATTTTTTTCTTATTATTTTATTTCTTATATTACTTATTTATTTAATTAGTAATTTATACTTTCGTAATGTTTAACAGATGTGTTTTTCTTTTCAAGACAGCTTTTATAAATGGGTAGTTAGATTTTTTTTTCTCATATTCTTTTATATTCTTTTTTTCTTATTATTTTATTTCTTATATTACTTATTTATTTAATTAGTTATTTATACTTTCGTAATGTTTAACAGATGTGTTTTTCTTTTCAAGACAGCTTTTATTTCCAGGTTAATTGCTGACTTTTTGATTCCCAGATGGAACCTTTCAAAATTAGGGTTGATTAAATATTAAGTAGTAGATTGGAGAGTTTGTTTTAGTTGAATTTTACTGAATCTGTAAAATAACTATATTATGCAAATGTATTCAAAGGGATATTTTAAAAAGCATTAGTAGGCATGAATTAATATTGAGGCTTTTGGAGCTCTGATGAATGTTCTTTGTGGCATTTCCAAAATATCTTAGATGAGTCTAAAATAGATTCTGACAACAAAAAGGTCTCCGTTCGTGCCCATTTTTTTAATTTATAATGAATTTACGCAGTGCTTTCTATTCACACCCACATACACACACATGCAGGCTTGAAATAAGCTTTGGTTTGTTTCTACACTGTCTTCAGTGTTTTGCATCCTGCTGGAAAGCTGAGAATCATCACCAAACGAGCATAAAACTCTGGGTGTGTGTGTTTGTGCACCTTACAGATATCAGTGACACAGTAGCGGTTCGGCAACTCATTGGAGACGTGCTCTATGGGAACATAGCGAAAGACGACAGAATGAACACGACTCTTCATTTCTGTAAATAGACTTTTAATAAAACTACATCACGATATTTCCTCTGTGTCTTTGTCTCATTTTGCTACATTTACTACTGCATAATAATAATATATATACCTTTTTATATAATAATAATAATAATTACTATTATTATTGTCCCTTCTTGCTATTTAATAATTATTAAATTATTTAACTAATTCGGTTTGTGTTGATGTTGCCATTTTTGCCACATCTTTAATATAATTTCCATCTTGTTATTTTCTTGTAATATGCCTTATTAACAATTTTTAGTGACATCATCCTCCAAGGAAGTGACATCATTATGATGAGAAAACAACAGCACAAACATCTGTATTAGCAACAGATTGAATTAATTCTTTGATGTTTTGTAGTTTAATTGGTTTACTTAACTTTAAAACATTCTATACCGTTTCATAAAATTACAGAAATCAATTTTATATGATCACAATTTTAAAAGATGCTCAACGATAGCACAAGGAACTTTTAGCTGACATCCTGATGTAAGGTCCCTCACAGCACAATGTCTAACTTTAGCTTTTTATTTTTAGGTTCCACCCTGTTAAATTTCTTGCCATTTTGTAAATAATTAATAAAGTTGAAATATCTGAGCTTGACCAGACTGTTTCTGAAAGTCTGGTGAAGTCTTTTATAGAAATACTTCTTAACGCAGAGAAGTATTTACAAAGCTCAAAAGGTACTGTGTGATAGAATTTATTCGTATAGTTTCAGTTTTGATTAGTTTCAGAGGTATTGATCATTACTGAGTGATGTGTATCTCCAGGTGATAAGCAATAGCCAGGAACAGAGCTGTAGACCTATGCTTTCCAGGGAAAGACTGAAATCCTTGTGTCTGTAATCTAGGAGAAGCCCAGGGGGAGGATTCAGTGTCCCACCCCCTGCTCTGAGCCTGTGGAGCTTCATGCATTATCGATGCATTATGAAGATCCTTTGCTTTAGGGAGTAGAGGAGGACGCATTGATTTCAGCTTTTGTGTTTGTGTGTGTTTACTTCAGGGCAGGAGCAACGTTGGGCTCAGGTGTCATCATGCATTATGAGGTTTCCTGCTGCTGAGGAGGGAGGACAGATTGAAGTGTGTGTCCGTGTCTGCAAATTCAGTTGTACTGAAACATTGTCAGTCCCATGTGTGTCTGCCCTTGAGGCATATCTGAGCTCTGCACTGCAGTTTACCGCACAACACTGGGGATTTTGAGTTCTCCAGACACAGCTTATGTACTTCAGTGAACACAAACACAGCTTTACCCTTTCAAGAGTTCACACACTGGTGGTCAACAACAGAGAGTCTTGTGAAGGCGAATGAAACCGATTATTAAAGACATCATAAAACATCATAACTGATTATCAGTACACCCTACGCCAATCTCTCAAAACTAAAGAAATTAAAAGAAATTGTAATTAGTTGTCACTTAAGTTATTTTATAGTTATAATTTATTACAATTAATAATACAATAATAATAATATTCAAAATTATCACCAAGAAAAACGGAACAGTATTTTGCTGGTTTCCAGAATACTGGTCTTGTGCAATGTTATTTTAGTATTATTATATATGCTATTATTATTATTATTTATTAATATTTTGTTGAATTAGTTTTTTTATATTTATATTTTATTTTTTTTGTTATTTTGTTATATATTTTTGTCATTTTCATTAGTTTTTAATATTACAATTTAACTTTATTTTTATTTCTGTTTTATTTCAGTTTAGCAATTTTAGTACTTCAACTTTAACGGAGTTATTTCAGTTAGTTGCCAACTAGTCAACATTTCAAATTTTTGTTTAAGATTTTTAAGTTTAAAATCTTTTTATTTTATTTCAGCTTTATTTCAATTACTAGTTAACAATAACAGCACTGGTCTTATGATTTCAATATGGCTGCCCCCGTTACGCAACCCACTCCAAGTAAAATAAGACATGATTTTAAACAAGATTTTTTGAAAAGTAGTATCCATTTCTTTCTAAAACGGGAATAAATGAATGTGTGCATCATCTAATGGTGTGTGCAAGATACTAACTGTCTACTACTCTTAAATATGACTGCAGTTCAGTCCCTGGAATTTAGTTTGATCCCTCTGCCACCTAAAAAAGCCATGTACAAAATGATTTTCCCTTAAAAGTACAGAGTAGGAAAAAGACTTGAATGGTCCGCACTCTAGTTCTTGTCAAAGCTACTTCCTGTTTTACCATATAAGGGCACAGTAGCCATCAGAGAAACCTACTTCTCAGGGTCACACTGTGAATTTAGTGGCATTAGGTGACATGTGAAGTCCGTGGTGGCTTTGGCTGTGTATTATTGATAGTTTTTAGTATGGAAACTTGCATCATGAATTCTAAATGGGCGGCGCGTTTGATTAATTCTGTGTGAACTGAACTCGTTGCCCAGCTGTAAGAAAACATTGGGCAAAAAAACTAGCTTATGTGGAACCAGCAGATAACTGACCCTGGGAACAGACCACCCATGGGAATCTCTCCGACCAAAATATGAAAGTTGGTTCAGTTCAGTACTTTCATTTGTGCTGCAAGCTTCAGCAGTGTTTCTGTGTGTGTGTGTGTGTGTGTGTGTGTGTGTGTCTGAGTTTATTAGAGGTTTCAGGTGTTAGTGATTGTGTACTTGCGCAAAGAAAAGTAAAGAATTCTTGTCATTTACACTGAGAATCCTTTATCTCCCGTTTATGGTTGTCTCAATGCCAAGTGCACTTCCCAGGGAGTTGACCTTTTCTAGGACTGTTCCGTTGTCAAAATCGTTCCAGTGCACTAAAGCTTTCCCTAGAAGTTCCCAGAATGCACCATTAAAACCTACGATTTATTTACGTATAAGTGCCAGGAAAAATGTTGTCATTGAATTGAGCCATTGGCTGAAAGAACTTTTAATGGGTGCTATTCAGTGTCTGAAAAAATGTCTGATGTACATTTTAAATGTACAAAGAACAGTAAATAACACGATTGTGCAAATAAATGAATAAATAAAATATTATTAAATACATACAACCTTTCTCATTTTTTGTTATTGTTTTTTTTTTAAGTTAGCTTTGGTTTTCCTGGCTAACCACATGTTGGCTAAGCCTATACGGAATGTTTAAAATAGCCTGTTAGCTAAGCCCATACCCTTCACAAATGTTAAAATTAGACTTTTAGCTTTGCTAGGTCCCTCACAAATGTTTAAATTAACATTTTAGCTTAGCCTATACCCTGCGTAATTGGTCAAATTAGCCTTTTAGCTTAGCCTATAGTACACTTTGCAGATGTTGAATTTAGACGCTTAGCTTAGCTGTACCCCGCACTTATGTTCAAATTAGCATTTTAGCTTAGACATAACCCTACACAAATATGTAAATGAGTCTGTTAGCTTGGCCTATACCCTACACAAATGTTCAATTATTATTTTGATGTGTATTACGCATTTTAGTTTGATTAGGCCTAGCAAAAGTCCAGCAGATTGAATTATGTTGCAGTGTTCAAATGTCGCTACATATTCTCATGTCAATAGACTAATTCACAACATAGGCAACTAAAAACAGAATTATATGTAGTGTCTGTATGTGAAGAAGCACAATAATATTGCCCAATACCATATAGGCTCATCATCAAATTGTGTGTCCTTACACTTTCAGAAAAAAGGTACAAAAGCTATCACAGGGGCGGTATGTACCACGTTCATATCATTTCTATTTTTCGGGGCACAGCACAATTTGCTTTCATTTCAAAACTGTTTGAGTGGGCTAAAAGGGGTCAGAGAAGATTACTTTGCGAAGATGAAATGAATGCACCTGGGGAAGCTCTTGGAAAATAGTAAAAAAAAAGAGGTGTGCTGTCTTCTCACTGGTCTCCAGAACAGTGTGGCAGACTTGGTTAAAGCTAGAGGGAGCAATCCAGGGCTGTCAGCTGAGTTGGAGACTATGGCAACTGACAGCCAGGAGCTGAGCTCTCCAGAGGCCTGTTGGCCTATTTGCACACAATACAAGGACAGTAGGTGCGAGTGTGTCTTCATGTGTTTGTGTTCATGCTGATGCTGTTTGTAATACATCAAGGTTAATTACATCAATGAACGCCTCCTGTCTGTGGTGCTTGAATGTGACTCGTGCTATTTAATTGATTGTATATAAATTCTTATGACTCAGCGGCAAACGCATTCTCATTTATTACGGTTTTGTCTTGTTGAAATGTAATGAGGAATGCAAATGTGGTCTTTAGTAATTCATGAGTTGATATTGCCAATGTAGAATTAGCTGAAAGTGTGCTTACATTACTGTTAGAAAATTATTTTCATTCAGCAAGGGCATTTGAATTGATCAAAAATGACAGTAAAGACATTTATAATGTTACAAAAGATTACTATTTTAAATTCTATTCATCAATCTCAAATTATATTCTATTCATCATGGCAGGCTGGGGCACTGCCTCAAAAGAGGGTGGCCGCAAAATGAGCATGATGAGAAAAAAAAAACATTGTAGAATCTATGGTACACTATTAAGAAGTGCTGCTAACCTGCAAATGTTATTTTAGGGAGCTATTTCTACCTGATCTAACCATTAAATTTAATTTTATCACTGTAACCTAATGTATAGATTAATATTAAGGGTTGAATAATCAAATAAATGAGGTGTTACCTCATGAAAAATTGTACATATTCAATGAAGAAAAACACTTAAAGGCATTACTCAAATGAAAACATTTTCATACTGGTTTTATCTCCACACCAGTTTTTGTTCCGTTCTGAGTTATACATTCAAATCCTCTCATTATAACATACGGAGTGTATACACAATGTAGCTTAAATAACTGATTGATCGCGCAGTGTAGAAAGATGCATTGGTCATAACAGAACTTTGTGAGATCGCGATGAACAAAGAGTGACAGCTTTTTAGTGATTATAAAGGGAGCGAGCTTTCTAATCCATTCAAAATGCAGAACTTTTGTTTTTCGGTCGCACACACTTTGCAAAGTTTTGGGAATGACATCCGCATATTTATGCGGGATTCACTCTCGAAATAGCAGTATAGCAGTGATAACCCTAGCAATGGATGGGACAAAATATGTGAAAATGGGCATTAAGACTTACTTCTGCTGCATCTCTCAAATCAAGTTATGCTCAAATCAAGCTTGCACCTCAGGTTGGACATCAGTATCGTAATTCAATATCAAACAAAAGTCATTGGTTCGTGTAACCAATCATAATGCCGTCCGACCTGCATTATACAGTATTTGATTTGAGAGCTGCAGAAGAGGTGAAGATTATTGGTACAAACGAACAAGCACTTAAAACATGCTACTTGCTCCTCACGTTCTGTTATTGTTATTAACCTCATAAAATCTACCCAGGAAAATGAAACCAGATAACCCAGGATTATGTTAATCAAGTCCAAATGTGTGTCTGGCATGATATCAGCATTGGCAAAGTGGTCCAAAGTCATCTTATCTTAACCCTCCTATTCTTAATTTGTTCACATTAGGGTCATTTAATTTAAATGTATTTATCTTCCATAAACCCATTTCATAATAATATATCCTCTTTACGTGCAATAGAAGAGCCCACGGCGAATAGTGGCCTCTTCAAACCCAGTCACTTTTGATCGTGGTGGGAAGGGAGTGAATCATGAAAGATTATGCCTCTCCAAATCCCTGTAACTAATGCCTGTGTCTGTCTTCCTCCCTTGCATCCGTGCGAGACCGAGAGGGATTCCAGCCCGTTGATTGACAGCGAGGCGGTATCTTCAAGATGCTCCTCACGCCGGCCTCTTCGTTCTCCGTTTCCTGCCATTTTCTTAATGGACACTTAACTGCTCTAGTGCTGGTCCTAATAGTCCCTCATTCTATCATCTCATCAGCCCCCTCAGAGGCGCTCCTGTGGATGGAAACACAAATGGCCGTTTTAATAAGCCCCTATGTTTATCCCGCTGGCAGCGGGGTTGCTGTTTAATGCGTTCCTCCGTCGCTTGTGCCGTTAGAGGTGCAAAGCTCATTAGATCTTGGTATTAAACACCGTTGTGGTCCTTCCGCTGTGATTCTGTGAAAACTCCAAGCTCTTAGCGGTGTTCATTACTGACAGGAAGATGCCCTTTCTTTCTTTATTCCTCATTCGCTTCATGTTGGACTTGCAAATCTGGTGTCTGGAGTCTTTGCCTCTAATCAAAGCTTCTCTTTCCACCTGCACGCTCAAGGTGGATTTTTCCCGATCCATGCGGGGAGAGCTCGGCGAAGGGGACGGAAATATCACAATGCCTTTGAAGGTGGATGGGGATTGGTGTCGAGAAGGAGCTGGCAGATTGCCCACGCACTCTTCTGTTTATTTCTGTTCTTTTCTATGAAGGTGTCAATCAAAGCTTGACCCCTGACCCCACCTGTGAGCTGTGAGGAAGCTCATTCCCTGCCTGTTAGTCTCATACATCTGCTGCTTACCCACTGGATTTCCTGTTCACACTTCAAATAACAGCCATACAAAAAGTATCCTGTCTGTTGACAATTCAGTAAATAAATAAGCATGTTACTAGAGTTACTAGATTCGTTTTAGGGTGGTACACAAGGATAAATTACTATTGTACAATTATTTACTTATATTAAAATATAAGTATATTTTATTGCAGTCATGCATGTTTGCAAGTTTGTATTTTTTAGGGAAGTGTATATTTCTAATAATAACTTCGTGTCAGTGCCTACATCTAGGTGTCAGAGGTTACATTGCTGTTCTGTAAATCTGTGCCTTTTAGTGCGCCGGTACAATAAGACGTGTATTTAAAAATGTGACAGGATGTGGCATGTTCACTGAGTCAGAAGAAAACGCCACAGGGCCCCCGTTGCACAGTGGGGTTATGAAGCAGCAGAGCCCATCTCTGTGGGAGCACTGCCTGAATAATAAAAACAAAAAGCATTTTGTTCTCTTCTGTGTGGTACTGAGGCTCTACTGGATTAGCTTTCTTTCTGAAGTCATCACTGGATGTGACAGAAAGACATCATGGGGCACAGCGTGCGACATGGTCATCAGCAGATGACTTTTACATCACTGCTGTTTTGTGCTGTAGCAAATGTGGTTATAAAGTGATTTTATGTTGAATTTCATTCTTTTTCTCCCTTAAAGACCACACGCATTTATCAGACACATATCTGAATGAAACAAATTTTTGGTGGGAAATTATATAGGGATGGACTTGCTTCACCAGTCAAGATTTGATTGGATTGTAAAAAGTTTAGCATGGATGCTGTAATATCATTGGCTGATATTATTTTACAGACGTGTATTTAAAAATGTGACAGGATGTGGCATGTTCACTGAGTCAGAAGAAAACGCCACAGGGCCCCCGTTGCACAGTGGGGTTATGAAGCAGCAGAGCCCATCTCTGTGGGAGCACTGCCTGAATAATAAAAACAAAAAGCATTTTGTTCTCTTCTGTGTGGTACTGAGGCTCTACTGGATTAGCTTTCTTTCTGAAGTCATCACTGGATGTGACAGAAAGACATCATGGGGCACAGCGTGCGACATGGTCATCAGCAGATGACTTTTACATCACTGCTGTTTTGTGCTGTAGCAAATGTGGTTATAAAGTGATTTTATGTTGAATTTCATTCTTTTTCTCCCTTAAAGACCACACGCATTTATCAGACACATATCTGAATGAAACAAATTTTTGGTGGGAAATTATATAGGGATGGACTTGCTTCACCAGTCAAGATTTGATTGGATTGTAAAAAGTTTAGCATGGATGCTGTAATATCATTGGCTGATATTATTTTACCCATCCCGAGTGGCTTGTTATATTATAGCAGAAAAAAATATGACTAAACACAAGCAAATCAGTATGTTTTTAAGGTTTAATATAGAGTTATGAAGAGAGAAATCATGAGATTTCGCTGTGGCCACGGCTTCAAAAAACATGAAATTTTAATGTATATCTTATGTTTTATTTAATATTTTTATGATAGATTTATGTGTGTGTGTGTGTATATATATATATTTAATGTAAATTTATAAATAGTATATATTAATATATAGAGTATCTTTGCTTTTTTCAAAGAATGGGTGGATTTTACGGTTTTTAGACTGTGATAAATAGAGCAATTTTTGGCTATGTTTTCAGTCTTCATGCTGGTTGGAACAGGAGCAGCCTGCCCTCAGTGGAGGGTCAATGATGTCATCCCATGTGGCTCTGTATGGTTGTGGGAACATCGTTTCCCTCCATCATCAGATGAAAGAAGCTTAAAATAGCCCGTTTACTGCCTCGAGCAAACCAACATTACAGCCACGTGAACCTCTGTGTGGAACCTTCAAGTGCAAGAGTCAGTTGTAGCACTGTTGCACTGTTTTTGCCAGCAGTAGCGCAAGTGTTGTTTCCTAGATCTGTGCATTGAGGACAACCAGAGACCTTCATAGCCAGAATACATATTTATTTTATTTAGGCAGAGAAAATACTGTTCAGAGAAAAGGAAACCAAAAAATAAACTGTTTTTTTCGTATAGTTGCCCTTCACATAGCATAGCAAGAAAGAGTAGAACATAAAATCGGCAATTATGTGGATGTCCTGCATTGAAAGGTCATCCATATTGTTAAAAGGCTAGATGATTAGGGTAATTGAGCATTGTGTGCCAACAGTTTAATTATCTGCACCGTTTAGGGAGAGTTTGTGTGGGACATAGATGCCCTTTAGGTCATCGGCTAGCATTTTAGTGGGAGCTTTTGGCTGTACTAAGACAGTCATAGTTGTGCTTATGAGCGAACAAACAGAACAATAAGCAAAGTGGTCTTTGTTAAAAAAACAGTCTTTGTTAGTAAAAGGCAATTTTGGGCGAGAGATTTCTAGCCAAGTTTGAGTTTTTTTCTGATTGTTTTTTTTTTTTGAGACATTTAAAAGTATAAAATCAGGTTTGGTGATTGGTTAGGAAACCCAAGGTGTGCAGCTTTTCATGAACTCTCTCTTACACAAGAATATAATTTACTTTGTAATTAAAATCACCAGTTAGAGAATATTACTCATCAATCGTCAAACAGTTCAATTTCTTAAGGATTAACTGTGTACCCCCCCCCCTCCTCCTGAGCTTTATTACATTTAATCAACTAGTTTAGCACAGCAAATAATAATGAAAAATCATAGTTGGCAGATTTCTGTAATAGCACAGAAACAAACAACGAAGAACAAAGAAGGAAAGATGAGAGAGGAGAGGCCTGTCTATGTTGATCTGGCACAAGGGAACACTACAGTCCAGATGCAGGCATCCTTCTGTCAACTTCCTCTCTGATTACTTGGGTACGGTCATGGCAGCTGTTGGGCACGTAGGTCCGAGGTCACATGTTTTTGTTGTTGTCATGGTGATGGCACTGGCTGCAGGCAGGTGGATCCAGGAAGGGAAGCTCCTGCTCTGTGCTGTGGAGCCGGAGCACTCTGGAGTTCAGGTCCACACAGCACTGGAATAGAGAGCAGATCACTGCATCACATCTAGTGTATTATGCTATAGTTATTCTGTCATTCTATCTATATGTTGTTCTATCTATCATTCTATCTATCGTTCTGTCTATCAATAATACTGATCACCCACGCAACTGCCTAGCAACCATGCAAATCTCTCTCTCTCTGTCTGTCTGACGTGTATAAATTTCAAGCTGCAGTCTTTCAAGATTTTAAAACTATTGTAAACGTATAAACATCAAAGATTTTCTTGTTGAACTTTCTGTTTTAAATTACTTTAATTTGATAAGAATTATGAGCAAGGACATTTCAAGTAACGACAGCAACACTGGAACTAAGAAAAGTGGCCTTTTTATATTAAACTTTGATTTAACATATGATCATAGTCTGAAGACCTGGTTTCGGTCAGGTCTGACAAAGCGTAATTACTGTATTGTGCCTTTGTAGAGCAAAATTGGTGAACATGTTTTGAGGTTGTTGTTTTGCTACTGTAACAGTCTGAGGAGCATTTATATATTTCAGGTGAACGGAGTGGCTGAAATGCTTTATTCTGCTGTTTATTGTCTGCACATTGGCCTGCCCTGGTTTCATGGATCCTTCTCCTTGCATACATTATCTTTTCTTCTTACAAGAATAGTAATTTGCATATACTCGCACTTTCATTCTCGAGCTTTCTCTCTCTTGTCCCCTTTTTTTAGCTCACTCTATCATACTTTAAAAAGAATCTTCTGTTCTTTTAATAGTGTTTAGCTTCCTTCTCATAACTCGTGTAAACCTCAAAGGGGAATTTTTCCCCCTGGCATTTGAAATAATCTCAAACCATATTCAAAGCTGATTCAATATTTAGATATACGCTCAAAAAATAACTCCCCCATCATGTACTCCTACTTAGTGTCAGAACCTAACATAGCCTCAGAACTGCTTTGCTGCTTGTTTCTCTACTAAGTATTTCATAATTCAATTTACTTCGTGTTATGTCTGTAATCACTTCAGCTATGATTTACTGATAAAACTGATACTTTGCATTTCAAGTCACTTTTGATTGTGATCAAAATTATACAAGTCACTTTTGATTAAAAAAGTCGCTTTTGCTAAATTATGTAAATACATGTAAATATCTTTGAGACTGGCAATTAAAGTATGATTATAAGTTTTACAATTAAACTATGAATATAAGATTGTAATTTGCATTTATTAAGTCTCATTTATATGTATGAAGATGTGATCTAGATCGGGTTTTCAGAATGGGGGTAAAGGAAAAGGTTGAAAAAAAATTATGTAAAAATTATTAAAAACATTATTTATTATTGTTTATTATTAAGGTAACACTTTACTTGAAGGGGTGTGCATAAGACTGACATGACACCTTCATAATCATGACATGACATGTCATGAATATGAAGGAGGTTTTATGCATGTTTATGACAACTGTCATTAAGTGTCATTCGCTCAGTTATGTCATTTTTAATGCAAATATGACATTATTTGACCTAACCCTATCATGTCATGATTATGTAGGTGTCATGTCAGTCTTATGCACACCCCTTCAAGTAAAGTGTAACCTTAATTAATAATAACAAAATATGGGGGGAAAATTACAGAATTTGTCATTGTCATTCTGCTAAAGACTGGTAAAAAATCATGACATTAATCATAAATATATATAAATATTTATAAAAATATACACAAGGAAATCATCATATTTGGGGTCAGTGGCATTAAAAAGTTTAAGAACATTTGATCTAGATGACCAGCACGATCTGCAGCAGCAGTTTTCAAAAAGACTTCATCCATGCATTTTAATCTCAAACTGAAAATGCAAAACTTTCAAAAGCCAAAGACTAGTGGGTTAGAAACCATACATTACAAGACTCTGAAAATGAGGTTAAACAAATGTAGGGCTTACTTTGAGTTCCAGCAGAGTCTGTAGACCCAGACACACCTCAAATGTGGCGTCCTCTGTGAACAGACAAGAGATGAGACTCAAAATGTGGGAGACAAAGAGAGAAAATGTATCCCCTTTAGGCATCATTTTATTCTTTCTCTAATTAGTAGAGCACATGAGGAGGCTTGATTAAAACTGGTGCCATTAGTAGCTTTATAATATATCTGTATGCAATGCATGCAGAAGACACGGCCGGCACTGTGCCCAGGTCATGTACTCGTCTGTTATGTAATTCCTCTGTGTTGCCCACGTCCCTTTGTCCGAGCTTTCCCAGACTGCTGTCTGAATAGGTCAATGGCTCAGTCTGAAAGCTGAATATACAAGCTGAAGAAATGTATATGACTATGACTATTGCACTCTCATAAGACTTTTCTGTTGCATTAAACTTATATTTAGACATGGCTGGTTGGAACCAGTTCTGACTCTGAGAGTACCGAACTCATAGGAGAATGTCCTGGATGTCTCTCAGCTCTTCTCTGTTCAAATGAAATCTATGAAACATGGGGTAATCGTATATGTTTTCTTGGACAGCGTTTTAAAAAGCAATAGGCAGTGCATTTTCAGAAGTGACTGGAGAAACTTTGAAGTCTGACCTATGACCTGGGCAGTGCATTGCACTCTTTCTCTGCCCAGCTGCAGGTGCAGGGACTTCACTGTCTCCACTGTCGAATCACTGAGCGGCAGCTTGTCATGAGGTTTGTCTTCAAGGTTGGTTTTCAATCTACAGAAAATACAAGCACTTAGGAAATATTGTCATTTTTTGTTTCATATTTTTGTGATACATTTCTTTCAGCATTCTGGATTCTAGAAATGTCAAAAGATCAGCATTTACCTGAAATAAATAAAATTACAAATAATAATAATAATAAATGTTTCTTGATGAACAAATCAGCATATTAGAATGATTTCTTGAAGGATTATGTGACATTGAATACTGGAGTAATGGATGCTGAAAATTCAGCTTTGCCATCAAAGGAATAGATTACATTTTATAATATATTCCAATATAAAACAGTTATTTTAAATTGTAAAAATATTTCCCAATATTACTGTTTTTACTGCATTTTTCATCAAATAAATGCACCCATGGTGAACATAAGAGACTTTTTAATTAAATAAAAATTCATTTGAAAAAACATGTGTCTGTTTGTTCAGTTGATTTCAGTAATTATGGATAAAAAAAATTTTTACAGGAAACTGGACGCTCAGTTTCACTAATAAAATTACATTACATTACAAAATTGATAATGATTGGTGCATGGTTTTTCACTGCAAAACATCAAAAATACCGCAATTTATCAGCAAATTCTGTGTGTGTGTGTGTATAGAATACACTTACCCAAGTCGTCTGCAGCATGTTTTAGCGATGTGGTTGTGTTGGCACCCTGTGTTTATGGATAACATCACCTCTGCATCTTCGCACTGCAAAATAAACATTTGGTCTTTCCCTGATAAAATATATATTTTTTTCCCCCTTGTGATGCCTTTTCTACACCTTTCATGTGACAGGAATTTTAAATAGCAAAACATATTATCAGTCAGAGTCTAACAACATAGCTTAGTCTGCCAGCTAGTTTCACACAGATGCCAAGTTGAGACACTACATTATGTTGAAGCACAGCACAGCATTAGCTTTTGTTCTTTTAAATAGGCAATGCCAGGTTTTGTTTTTGCACCGTCTGACAGTATCAGGATTGATAGTTTAATAATACCGTCTGAGGATAATAGTTCTGGTTAATAATGGACCGTCACTATCAAAGGTACTCCTGACGTTTCGCTTCAGTGAGTCGGTTTATTCTCAGTCTGTCCTTTCACCTGAAATTCCATCAGTGCTTGCAGAATTCAGAGCTAGACAGATGA